ACCAGGACGCGAAACCCGGTCGACTACGTGGGAGTCCAGCAACATAGCCATTACACTAACTGCTGGTTACCCACTTTAAAATATTCTTCAAATTCTTTTTTTTATTTTTTTAATGATTTAACTTTATTTATTATCATTATTGCTATTACAATGTTAATTTGATCACAGAAAGAAAGAGGTAAAGTGATAAAGCAAGCTGCCAGGTCTGGGACTCACAGTCAGCCACGTGGGAGCCCAGCGTCCTTAACCACCACGCCACCTGCTGGCCCAAATTCTAAACTACATTATGATAAAGCTAAAACTAGGTAATAGATCAAAACAGGAAACTGCTGAGTAATAAGACCAAAGCAAGTTAAGAGTATTTCAGATTACCTAATGCAATCCCCTCCGGCCCCATGTGGCTAAGAAATGTTTGCCTGGGGTCACTAAGAACACCAGCAGCCAGGTCATGCCTAATTTAACATCCAGCACCATCCTATTACTCCAAGAATTCACCATCAACGAAACCTCATTGAAATATGCATACTGGGCCATCAGGTGACATAGAGATTAAGGTGCTGGATCCCACGTGGCCAGCTGCATAGTTCAAGTCCTGGATCTGGTTTTTGAAAATCATGCCAGGAGTGTGCCCTCAAGATTGTGAGAGAAGACTGGACAAGAGACTGTAACCTGGCCATCCCCCTTGGGGGGGGGGGGTGAATTCCTGCTTTGCCTCTGCCTCCCTCCAGTGAACACGTGTACTCTATGGTTAAAAACCTAAAAAACCACTCTCCATTTTCACTGTTTTCAGATAGCAGGAGAACCTATTTTCTCTTCCTTTTGCTAAGAAGCATTGATAAATCCACACTGCACTGATGGGTCCTAACACACTAGAAAGATTTGGGGACCAGAGGTAAGCCTGGCTAACCACTTAACCATTTGCTGTGTTGTCCCTAAGACATGTGACCACTGTCCTGTCCTTATTTGTAAAAGGGAGATGATGCAACTGTCCCGAGGGGAGAATTATTACGAGGTGCCCTGTGCTCAATCTTGCTGTCAATAAATTCACAAATCTGTGAAAGTTTATGTCCTCAGTGTGCAGTTATTCGTTCCTTTACATTCTGCTCCAATTAGGTTACAAGAAAAACTCAATTTAGTGTCCACACAGCAGGCTCGAGTGAATCTATCTCAGAACACATTTGCACTTCCCATCTTATTGTCTATTTCCTGAACAAAATGGAGAAGAAAAATGGGTGATTTCCAAGTGACTTCACACTTTCAAGTACCAAACAATCAGCTGTTTCTAAGTTTTGATGTTTGTGCACCAAATTGCCATGATGCAGACCATGCTTAGAGGTGGTCAAGGCACAGGGCATGTCAGGCAGGAGGGACATGAAGACGACAGTTGAGGGTCATGTATACTAAACGAAATTCGACTATTTTATAGACACATGTTGCACTTAACTAGGTTGTAAAAACTAAATTCTAGGGATGGTCAGCAGATGGTGTGGTGCTTAAGGAGCTGGACTCCCATGTGGCAGACGGTGGTTTGAGTCCCGGACCTGGTGGCTTGCTTGCTTTCTCGCTCCCTCTCTGGTCAAATTAAAAAAAATAAATGGATAAAGTTAAATAAAATAATTCTTTTCTAAAAAGAAAAAAATTAATTCTGGGGGCCAGCAGATAGTGTAATGATTACATTGCTAGACTCCCACATGGCCAACTGCAGTTTCAGTCTAAGCCTGGTGGCTTCAAACTCACCATGTACATGTGCGCATGCCTAAGATCTCAGGAGACTGGGGAAGGGACTGGAGCGTGGCCATTTCTCTTCCCTCTCACTTTCCATCTCTCCAGCAAGTGCACAAACCCTATGTCAAAAACCTTTAAAAATAAGTAACAAATTCTGGAATTGGTAAAAGCGCAAATGGATATATTAACGTGTCTTCGTTAACATCATAATTCTACCACACTTCTGAGGCTAGGAAAGCAGCCGATAAGCTTATAAAATCTAATAGTGTGTGGTCAAGACTTACAAAGCGTGCTCGTAAGTAACACATTCATGACCCAATCCTAGGAAACACATTTAAATAACGGGAAAGTTGGGAAGGGTGTCACTAGCAAAGCACATGAGTCTGGCGAACTTTATTGTTTAACCTGGTTAAGAACACTGCTATGGGGACCAGCAGTTGGCATAATGGCTATGTCACTAAACTTCCATGTAGTCAACCGCGGTTCGAGTCCCAGACCCAGCGGCTTAAACTTACACCATGCGTGTGTCTGTGTGTGCGTGTCCAAGATCTCGAGAGGAGAAAGGAGGAGAAGGGAATGCGGTGTGGCCATCCTGGGTGTGTGTGTGTGTGATTTCTTGCTTTCTGTCTTTCTGGCGAGCTCACGTGCTCTAGAGCAAAAACCTCTAAAAAAAGAAAAAAAAACCTGCTATGTACATTAACATTCGTACACCTCCTCAGCCACTCTAAACCCAGTAACCCCTGACTGCATCTGTTGTGACCTAACTACATTTAGACCACAGTGGGGCCTTGTCCCACTGTGGCGCTAAGACATTCAGAATTCAGACAGCTGTAATGAACACAAGCTGCAGATACAAGAAAGGAAGCAAGGTACATCAGATACCTGCACTCCTGCCAGAAGGGGCAGAGCACACCGCTGGCACGATTCTGCATTCTCATCCTGGTTCTTGCATTTACTGCCTGCCTTAGTTAATCACATCTATTTCTGCCTGCCCCGATTACCTCTAAAGGGTTTTTAATTAATAGCTGAATATCTCATGAGTCAGGCACTAATAAACACACTAGCTATAAATCTTACAACCCTGCAGTTACTTATTCTTGTTCCACTTTACCGATAAGGAGACTGAAGATCCAAGATCAAGTGCCTAACACAAAGCCACACAGCTAGAAAGTACTAGAATCAGGGTTTTTAAGTTTGGCTAGAATCCTCTGCAGAGGCTTTTGTTGAAATTTAGTGATAAAGAACACCAAAATGATATGTTAAGAGCATACCAATTCACTCCCCTACTCAAAATCACAAAGGCTATTACTATTATACAGCAAGTAACTTAAGGGAAAAACCACATGCTCATTTGAATTTTAGTGTAAAAGTATTCCTTCAGGGCTGGCAGGTGGCGTGGAGGTTAAGGACCCTGGACTCCCACATGGCAGAACGCAGTTCAAGTCCGGGACATGGCAGCTTTCTCTCCCCTCCATCCCGGTCAAATTAAAATTAATGAAATTAAATAAAACTTTTAAAAATGTATCCCTTCTGGGGCCGGCAGGTGGCATGGTGGTTGAAGTGCTGGACGCTCACATGGCCAACCATGGTTCAAGTCTTGGACCTGGCAGCTTGCTCTCATTCTTTCTTTCTCACCTTCTCTCATCAAATTAAAAAACAATTGATAAAATTTAATAAATATCTTTTTAAAAAATGTATCCCTTGGGGGACCAGCCAGTGGAGTGGTTGTTAAGGTGCTGGACACTCCCACATGGCTGATAGTTTAAGTACTGGACCTGGTGGCTTGCTTTTCTCACTTTCACTTTCTCTCTCCCTCCCTCTTCCCTCCCTCCTTCTGATTAAATTTTAAAAAAAAACCCTAAATGAATAAAAAATAAAATTCTTTTTAATAAAAAGTATCCCTTCTATATTTTCTTTAGCTAAACCAAAGTAAAGCTAGAATTGATAACTTTTTAAGTCTCATAACTGAATTTACTCACAGTACAGCATCACACAGCTTTCCTTCATTTTAAGCCACAAAGCACTCTCCTACACCTCCCCAACAAAGCCTTCTGCTTACAACTTGAATTTTGGTGCTGACAGCTCTCACTCTATCATCCCAACAGCTTTTTACAACATGAAATGCTGCAAAGCTCGCAGGAACCTCTCAATGGCATTCTCCAACAGCAGTGTCTGACACTGGCAGGACAGGAGTTTGGACCTGAGCACTGAAGGGGCGTTCTCCACATGGGCTAGGATGCTCTGCTCCTCAGCTTTCTGGGCCCTCTACTTACTGCCAGGAGGCTAGGAAGAAGAAAAGAGCAAACTTTAAAAGCTCCAAGTGTTTGGCCAACAAACCAATCATTCCAATCAATCCAACGGCGGTTTCGTTTGCTCTGCTGCACCAATGCGGAACCACATCCGTGCCAGGTGTTTTTAATAGATTGTATGCATCTTGAAGAACTATTTAATTTTACTACTACTTCTCCTTTAATTTGATATAGGGCATGTGTGTTCACCAGAGGGAAAGTGAGAAAGAAAGCAAGACACCAGTCTGGGACTCAAACCATAGTTGGCCATGTGGGAGTGCCCCAACTACCACGCCACCTGCTGGCCCCATAACAGATTTTAAACCAAAGGTATGGTAAAAATGAAAATAACCTAGTCATAAGTCATATTACAAAGCTGTGTCTTAAAGGAAATCACTCTGCCTGTCCCAGATGTTCAAACATCAGCATAAGAAATGCCTCTTGGTCTTTTTCTGGCTTTGATCGAAACATTTACAGGGACTACATATCTGTTTAAGAGACATTAACTCTCCTGTTATCAATATAAAAAGGAATGTGAAACTTTGAGTCCTAAAACAATTTAAGAAAAACTTATACAGACAAGAACAAAAATACATACTGTTGGCTTTTTAAAAATTGTTGCTAATAGTTGCAACTTGCAAAACAAAAATGTTAAGTCCTTAATTCAACCCTTGGGACTCTAATAAAAATTATTCTTTTATATTCCAGTATACAATGATCCTGCAGACAAGAATCAGGCAACAAGCCACAAACAGCACAGTCCCGGGACCCTAACTTCACAGGTGTTTAATCAGAGCAATTCTTTAGACGTGTCTTTTAAAAACTACTCTGCCGGAAAAGGGGACCCTAGGAAGTAGGGACTGTATGTCATACTTCTCTCCCTAGGTTTTTCAAAAGCCTTCCCTCAACGTATACTGACTGAGCGAACACACAACACGCAGACGCCAGCTTAAATTCGAACAGGAACTTGGGAAACGCACATATTACCTGGCTGCTGATCTCCAAAACTGGACTGAACAGGAAAGGAGAAAAACCTATTCTTAAAAAACGTCATTGGGGGCAAGATGAGGCGGTATTTTAAAGTAATCCCCCATTCTTCTTCTCGTTTTTTTTTTTTTTTTAAGACAAAAACAAATCCAGAATCTTGGCTTCTCCTGAATAATGGTGAAATCGCCACCCGACGCAGAGCCAGGGCCAGGTGCGCGGCTTCCCCTCCAGCGCCCCCGCGGCTGAGGCCATGTGGCCACCATGAGGCAGCGACGTCAGCTCCCCCGTAATGAAGCCAACACCCGAGCCGACTGCGGGCGACTCTGCGGCTCCCAAGTACGCTTTCGCCATACGGAAAGCCTAGACGGAGGCCGGCTAAGTAAACTTCGTGCCTCGCTTGTAAACTACAGCCGCTGAGTTAACCCGAAACCGAGGCAGCGGCTCCTGCTGCCGCTGCGGTCTTGAGGCTTGACAAACTCACGTTCTGCCGACCCTGGGGTTTTCCGGGGAGCCCAGGGATATAAACCGTGTGGACTCGGGGAAGGCGGGCCCGTTCCAGACTCCACACCTGGAGTGTTCCAAGGGCGACAAAGACCAGAACCAGCCCGTCCCGAAGGCCCCAAGGCCCCGCGGAGTGTCCCGCCCAGGCCCCAAGGACCCTCCGCCAGGCCCGGGCGCCCTGGCACGTGGCCCGCCCCGCCGCTTCCCGCCAAGC